AATATAAGCAGGCCTCCGGTCCTGCTTTCCTTGTCTTGTTTTCCTGAGCTGAAATAAACTATGAGCTGTTTCACTTATCAACACACCTGGACCCAGTACTTTTCACTGGCGACAAGAATGGGATCCCGATGAGCAAGCCTGACTCTTATTTTAGCCAAGCACCAAGCACCGATCCGTCAGACACCACGCCCTGCACCACTCGCGAGCAGCACTGCACCACTCCCCGCTCCCCAGGACATCACTCCCTGATTTGCTCAAGAGTCATGGCTGCTGCTCCAGGACACCTCGAGGTCTTTGACCCAGCAAACCCTGAGTTCTGGGGAGTGTGGGTGGATCAGCTCACCAACTTCTTTGACTACCAGGAGGTGACCGACGCAGGCAAGAAAAGGGCTCTACTCCTCAGCACGTATGGTTATATTTACTTATTTAAAAAAATTATGAAGCCAGAATGCCAGCAGGGGGTTGGGGGCTATCCAGTGTTTTGCACAGAGTGTCACATGTATGACTATCTGCCCACTGGGCAGAAGTCTTGGGTGTGTGTAAGCCCCCTTTTAAATCCCTTTGTATTTATGTGTTTTTTCTTGTCAAATTGAAGGCCCTAGGAATGTGTAGTTTGGAGGAGATTGAGGGGGGGCACGATTGCTCTCTCTAAATATCTGAAAGGCTGGCATTTGGAGGAGGGCAAGGAGCTGTTCCAGTTGGCAGCAGAGGATAGGGCCCGAAGCAGTGGGTTTTAATTATAAGCAGAAAGGTATCAGCTGGATATTATGAAAACCTTTTTCATGGTCAGAGTGGTTCAAAGGTGGAATCAGCTGCCTAGGGAGGTGGTTGGCTCCCCTTCACTGGCAGCTTTCAAGAGGAGGCTGGCCGAATATTTGTCAGAGGTGCTTTAGGCTGGTCCTGCATTGGGCAGGGGGGTTGGACTAGATCCCTTCCAACTCTATGGTTCCATAGATTTCCTGGATCAGTTTTCCTTGCAAAAACTTCCAGGATACTTTTTATCCTAATACAGAATATTGGTGGGGGGAAGCACCCCATGTGGCAAAAAGGGTTTTTAAAATATTAATGTTTTACTGCTTTTCAGAAAGGAAACTCTTAAGTGGCTGTACTTTGGGAACCATTTGTAAAGCTGCCTGGCCACCAAAAAATGCTCTCGGGGAGAACCTGTTAAAGGGTTTGCTATCAAATTGCACAGGAGGGGATGCTAATGGATGCTCTCAGTCTGCATTAATAGCCAGTAATCACAAGGAGGTTCCTGTTGAGTGTTGCCAGGAGGTGGAGAGCAGGGTGAGAAAGGAATTTCCACCCTTATTTCTTCTGTCACAATGTCAGTGGTTCTGGAAAGGACTGGACAGTTTTGCCTGGTTGATGGAATACATCACATGCTTTATTACACTTCCTTTATGGAGAGTGAATCCAGTGTGAGCCTATAAAAACTGAACCCCATGGGATTACACTGCTGTTTGTACAAGAGCCTGTTTGGATATAAAAATGTATTATACAGTAATAAACAGTAACTGGGCTTGTCTGTTCTAGGAGTGGTCGAAACCGGTCTCTTTATCAACATGGCAGAGCGAGTTTACTTTGGTATGGAAGACGGCTCAGTCAGCATCCATGAGAAGCCAGCCCACTGACCAGCCCTCGCATTCACCTGGCCGTCACTTGACTATCACTAGGGTGCCATTGATGTCTTGCCTTAGAGTGGGGGTGGGGGTGCACACCCAATGAATGACAAGGTCCAGCAGATTTAGCTGAAGTGAATTTCTTTGCTAAAATCTGTTTTAACATTTTTCATTAATGTGTTAATGTTTTTAAAGGGCAGTGGAAAATGTTGAACAAAATGTATTTTAAACTTTTATCATTTGATGTTTATACAAAATGTTTACCAAAAGGGATATTACTAACAGTACTTCAGCCACCTGGTTTGCTCAGGCAGTGTCTGTTAGGGAATGATGGTAACTGCATTTCTTGGCATTAGGTCGAAGCCCAGAAAACAGAAGATTCATATCCCATTGGACCACACAGATGCCTTTCTGGAGCCTCTTGGTTCTGTGTTTTTCTAAATATTTTTTCCATAATGGTTTTAATAATGCAGCCTGTCTAACTTTGTTATACTGCTGTTGATATCTGTTCTATGAGGTGTCACAATGTGACAATGTTAAGTTCTATTTAGGAATAATTATTGCATTTCCTGCAATGCTGTGGCTGTTCCCACGTTGTTTTCTCATAACATAATATGAAAAAGGGATGAAAAAATGGGTTTGCATCCCTAGCCCTGCTGCAGCCAGCACTGGCATGCAGAGCGAACTTGGTCACTGGCCTCCCCGTGTGCCGTTCACACCTTTGGGTGTTCCTGAAGCTACGAGAGCAGCTGTGCTGGAGTGGCTCCCAGACTGCCGTGAGCAAAGTGTGGATTCGGCCTCACTTTGGTGGCAAACAGGGTGCCAACCTTTTGTCGGTCCCTTTCCCATTTGGGGAGTCGGGGGGTCCTGACAGGGTTCCAGGTTTTTTTTGCTAAAGCATCATTTATTTCCGGAGCCACTTGACCAGCCGATGCCCAGAGTTCCATGTGGGACCCCATTCCGCTTTACAGTGGGAATTTCCTGGTTTGCTGTTTCTCACATGTTGATGTTTCACAAAATATAATACCTAAATGCAAAGGGATGATTGCGCTTCCTGTCAGACATCTTAATGTAGCAAGAGCAAGATGCTTTTTAAATGTATCATCTTCCATTTCTAAGTGCTTTGTACAATGATTGTCAAAAAAGACACCAAATTCTCTTACAAGCAGCACAATAAAAAACGACGTGTAATGCCAATGTCTTGTGTATTTTCTGCATAAGTAACATACATCACCGCATCCATCTACAAATTCATGGTGGAACACGTGCTGTCCAGCCACAGCTAGCGGATGGCAACCACTGCAGGGTCCCCAAGGCAGAGACGGCTTGGTTGCCATGGCCTGCCTCTGTGCAGCAGACGGACTCCCTTTGGGGTCTCCCATATATACTCCCCCCATTGTGTCACAATGATGTTTGCTCTTCTCAAACTAAGTGCAGCACCACAGGACTGATTAAACCTGATGCGTTCAAGGGAGCTTCCATCCACAGGCAGTCAGTGTTCCTTGATTCCAAGCTTCAGCAATGACATGGACGAAGAACCGTTTGTTTCAAACTGTATCTCACTTGAAGAAATATTTAGCACAGATGGCAGCAACAATGTCCTTGTAAGGAGTGTCTGAATCAGACTTGGTTGGAGGTATGCGGCAAAGTCTACGGAAAGCAGGAGAGCGGAGCAGAAGATTGTGTGAAAGTCCCATGAAGCTCGAAGACACCCAGTACAAAGCCATGGCCTGCAACAACAGCAAAGAGATGTGTCCCATTTAATGAGCTACATCAGCGGTCCTCACTTTGCGGCTGGCAGACTGCAACCTCCTCACCACAGAACAGCCATAGATCCCCACGAACAACTCTTAAAACACCTCCAACACACTTACCCTAAAAACGAACTGCTGGAGAGGCAGAGCCACATATTTACAGTAATCACTGTGCACAATGCAATGTTCAGCCTTGCATCTCTAAAGTCCCAACTCTGCTAGGCATGTACTTATTTGTTTATTCATCTAGTTTATATCCCGCCTTCCCTGCCAAGGCAGGCTCGACCATGCAACACCCAAGACACTGACTGACTTCTATCCTACAGTACTTACTGATGGCACACTCGCAGCGACAGGGACCATAAGTGCAGACATTCCCCGGAAGATGTGAGTGGTGCACTTCTGAATCCTGGACAGTCTGGTTTTTTGCAAGACAAAAATCTGAAGAGATAAATTTCAATTTGAAGAAATATGGAAAATGTCAGATGAGATTATGCAAAACAAATGTGGACTTAGGCTGGTTATTTGTGCCTTTACATTCCCTTCTGTTATACTTTGGAAAATAATTTCTGCTCTATATCAAACATCCTTTTAAAATCACAGTTATCCACAGACTGTCAAGCTTGGGCCTCACTTGCGAAGTATTTCCTACACTCCTGTTCTGTTTCATTATTCCACTGATTGTGTTATGGATTCACAGGCATTCTTATGCAGTTCCCACGTTGCACACAGCCTTGCTCTTCTTCACTGCTGGTTATCATCTCTGCTGGGAAACGGGGGGGGGGGGAGTGGGTGTGTACGGCTGCCCACTTTGCATGGTTAGTGCCCGCTTGTAACAGTTCTCATGCAGGAAAATACCTTGGGAAGTATATTATTTCATTGTACTGTGTGACCTTGTAGGCTGGGGAGCGTCTAGATAATGCAGGTGTGGGGGGTGGTCACGAGGGCAGGGGCAGACGTATGGTGGGCTGAGTGGGAGCAGAGATTGGCTGCTTGGCATCTGTGTAATTTCCTGCTTTTAGTATATTGGCAGAACTGGCGTCTGGGCCCCAGTCCCGACACAGAAGCTGTCTATGCTTGGAACCTCTCTACAAGAGTGTCTGTGAGAGTGATTGCATCCGGCACTTGACGCAGACATTGCTAATTGAAGCATTTTCATGTTTGATGGGGAAAACTGTAAAACACAAACAGGATACCTGAGGCAATTTAAAGACCAACAGATTTATTGAGCCCTTAAACTGCTGTGGTCTCGAGTCACAGAATCATAGAGTTGGAAGGGACCTCCGGGATCATCTAGTCCAACCCCCTGCACAACGCAGGAAATTCACAAATACCTCCCACTCCCCCAGTGACCTCTGTTCCATGCCCAGAAGATGACTGAAAACCTTCAGGATCCCTGTCCAAAAATGCCTGGAGAAAAACTGCTTCCTGACCCCAAAGTGACAATCCGCATTTCCAGGGGTGTGTAATAAAGGGCCAAAAGAACTAAGCACGGAGGCCACCTGCCACACCCCACCTCCGTCCCCCCTGCTGGTCCTGTCCTGAAGCAGCTGTGTCAGGAGGCCTTAGAACACTTCACATTCCAGTCTTCTCCAAAGGGAGGGTTTGGGAGCCCAGCTGGCTAGGCCTCACAATGACCTCACTCACCCTGCTGGGCTCTGCGGCACCTTCTCTCTCTCTCTCTCTCATTCACTCTCTGACGCTGCCCAAGAGTCTGGCCACTTCCTCCCTGACCTCTCATCTGCTTCTCCCTTTTATAGCCCTCCTCCTAATTTGTGCCTCCTCCCCCCTCCTTACCTCCTGGCCCTGCCTCCCCGTTTAAGCACTGTCACCATCCTTCCTGTGAGCCCACCGCCTCCCAAGGAGGCCTGGTCCACACTTCTGCCCCTTCCGGCTTGGCTGCATTGGTTGTGTCTCTCTCTCCCCTCAGCTGGGGCCCTGCTGCATTCCTCATGCCTCGCTCCTGCCCCCTGCCTGATGCAGCTCCTGGCCATGCCCATTTCTGGGGTTCTGGGCTGGGGGGTGGCATGGGGAGGAACCTGGGGCCTGTTCCAATGGGGAACCGCTCTTAACTGTCAGGACGTTCTTTAGCCAAAAACTCTTTTGATTGAATTTCAACCTGCTGGTTCTGGTCCAACCTTCTGGGGCAACAGAAAACAACTCTGTATCATCTTCTATAGGACAGTCCTTCCAAGTACTTGATGATGGTTATCCTATCACCTCTCAGTCCTCTCCTCTCCAGGCTACCATTCACAGAATGTTACAGACCATGCCTCTGGAATGCCACAGTTTTTTACCTGCTCAGGGAACTCCTAGCCTCTAATGAAGGAGCCTCTATTAAGAATTTCAGGTGCACAAGGCTATTTTTTGTTTTACAGTATCCCGTCAGCACAGCTTCCCCTCTGGAACTGAGAAACAATCTATACAAACAGTGAGGGCAAGTTTCTTTTTCCCCCACTACCACCGCTGAGAGAGTGGTGTACTGTCTGTAATGCAAGAAATCAAGCCAGGTGGAGAACTGCAAGATAAAGCAGAAGTACACCACCCTGAGCCCTCTGGGGAGAAGGTGGGAGAATCATGTGTACAGTATGCTTACAGTTGTCCCAGCTCTACTTTTTACATACTTCCACTATCAGCAGATTCAGGAGTCCAAGAGTGATGGGCAAAATCAGAGTATGATCAGGTGCAGTGAGGTCCATAAACCAGAGGGTACCTCCCACAGAAAGCTGTTCCTGGATAGGAAGCTCTGCTGAAAACACAAAAAATTAGCACGTTTTTGTTGTTTTAAAAACAATGTTTAGATTGTTAGAAACATAATGCTTAAACAATTTATTGTGAATCTAGATGATGTTGGGAAATGTTGAGGAAATTTGTAGGACTTTTAGAAAATTTGAGATTTTTGAAAGAGGCAGATCTGTAGATTGCTGCTGGTGAAATTGTTTCCAAATTTTTTTTGGGGGGGGGGGGACGGACACTAGGGTCCACAAGGTAGGAAGTATAATGATGCTAGTGAATCCTTTAAGGCCAGGAAAGGAGTAACAAAACTTGTCCTCTTTAAAGGCAACAAACTGAGCAAAAGCTAAGAGAGCCAGTTTGGTGTAGTGGTTAAGAGTGCAGACTCTAATCGGAGAGAGCCGAGTTTGATTCCCCCACTCCTCCTCCACATGCTGCTGCTGGTGTGACCTTGGGTCAGTCACAAGTTCTTTCTCACGAGCAGTCCTCAAAAGAGCTCTCTCAGCCCCACCTACCTCACAAGGTGTCTGTTGTGAGGAGTGGAAGGAAAAGGGATTATAAGCTGCTCTGAGACTGTTTTGGGTAGTGAAGGGCAGGGTATAAATCCAATCTTTTCTTCTAAGTGAAGGGTTTGTTTTTGAAGCTTACAAGCACTACTCAGAATTTTTTCCTCCCCTTACTATCTCTGATTTAACTTTCCTGATTTTACTGAGATTTTTTTTTTGCCTCCCACTTTTGCTTTGTTAATTTCTGAGGGCCTAAAAAAGTTGTGTTCTTGAGCACCTACCTCCCATGGGGAAAAACTGGCCCTGGAAGTCACTGGGACAGTTTCCTGTGTCTAGCTGGAAAGAGCCCCCAGAAGCGAGAGTGCTGGGGATAGGCCTCTCCCCCCCCCCCCCCCCGCGCGGGGGGGTTGGGGGTGGGGAGGCAGTCTCAGGGTCAGACTGCACTCAGGGAAAGTCCCTCTAACCTCCCTGAACTGCCTCCCTCCCCCCTCCCCCCCCGAGAGCATGATTCCTGCTAGGTTTTACTTGCGGGTCCTCAACAAACAAAGAGGGGGTTTGGGGGCAGTGATGCTCTGTATTCTGGGTGCTGGGAGGGGGGGGACACAGTGGGAGGGCATTTGGAATTCTGTCCCTTACTGGTGGACCTCCTAATGGAGGCAAGGTTTGGGCCACTGTGTGTCATAGAGTGTCGGACTGGGTGGGCCACTGGACTGATCCAACATGGCTTCTCTTATGTTCATAAGTGCTGGCAAAGAAACTTGTACAAAGGGAGTGCCGCCCATCCCCTTACTCCCCGACATCCCTCTCTCATCCTCCATACACACACTGCAGCACTGGCCTCTCAGGCACAAGGAGCCAGGCAGCCCGAGGACCCAAGCGCATCGTGACGCACCGCAGAATGTTTCCTTGAGGCTGCTGCCTTTCAGGGTTTTAATTACCAGGCATCCCAGTGTGGAAAGAAGAAGGGGCTTCACCACTGCCGCCACAGGGCCACACTGATCAGAAAGAGCCAGGAACACACACACCCCGACGCAGGCTTCCATCCAAAGCGCCTTTTGGGCTCACCTGGCTTTCTTTGAACTCTAATTGCCAATCTCGACAACAGTGTTATTAAAAACTCGCCCGCGTCCTTCAGCCGCGCCGGGGGGGGGGGCTCACTGCCTGGTCCTCCAACAAGGATGCAGTGCTAGAAGCACAAAACGGGCGATTGCAGTGCAACCTTGTGCAGTTCTGGCATGCTCAGAAACGGTTTCCTCACCGACCCCCCATCTCACCCACTAAGGTCAACTGAATACGATCAGAACCAAATACCAAATTCCCCCATCTGTCCTTAGTTCCACTTTGCATATGGACTGCTTGGAAAGATGGACCCTTTTGTTATGTGATGATTTGCTTGTGCTCTCTTTATGGATAACTCTGTGGAATACTGACAGCTGCACTCTGGGCACAACATTTTCTACCTGCTTAGAAGTCTCATTATTCTATTTCATGCAAAGCTAACACATTGTCTTGAACTTGAAAGGTAGCAGGTTTTTTAAAACAGGAATGTAGAAAACACACACTCTGCATCAACTTATAATTATTACCTTCAGAAGCTGTCCTACCAATGCTGAAGTTACGCAATGCCATGGAAACAAAGACCCATACTGGAACTTGTATCCATATCAGCAAGCTGGCCTTGAAAGGGTGACAATTATCTCGAATGTAGAGCTCTGAAACTATTCTTTTCAGATTCTTCCTGAAATGGAACCTGGTTGGAAAGATAATCATAAGACAAAGCTATAGACTGAGGCTTAATTACTCCCAAGCACCTCCAACATAAGAGACAGCAAAGAACAGAACACTAAACTCAAAACAGTTCTTAAAGCATCAAATGCTACATTATATTTAAACACACACAAAAATTTTGCTTCTTGTGCTCAGTTAGGGTTGGCCATCGGACAGTTAAAAAGACATTTAGTTAACTGACTTGCTCACAATTCAGGTTTTTTAAAGCCAATAAATTATTAGGACAAAAAAAGGAGAAACTTCACTCATCATAAGAACATAAGAGAAACCAAGCTGGATCAGGCCAACAGCCCATCCAGTCACACAGGGGCCAAAAACCAGGGACCATCAGGGGTCCACCAGTGGGGCCAGACTCCAGAAGTCCTCCTACTGTTGCCCCCCCCCCCAAGCACTAAGGACACAGAGCATCCCTGGCCCCAGCCTAATCCCTGGCCTTTTGACTAATCACCACCGATGGACCTCTGTTGATCTAACCCCCATGAGAAGCGGCCTATGCTTGTTGCCACCAACACTTCCTGCGGCAGTGAATTCCACCTGTGAATGACTCTTTGGGTGAAGAAGGACTTCCTCTTATCTGTCCTAAGCTCCTTCATTTCACTGAGTGCAAGGATAGGGAGGGAAAGTACGTCTCTCTCCCCCTGCCTCCTCTATCCAATGCATACTTTTGCAAACCTCGGCCCTGCCACCCTTCAGTCGTCATTTTCCCAGGCAAAAGAGCCCTGACTTCTTCCGCCTTCTTCCCTCATGGGAAAAGTGCTCCATCCCCTTAATCATCCTAGTTGCCTTCCCTCCCCCCCCCCCGGTGCTCCAAAGGGGGCGGTGCCGTGGCCATCCCGTGCGCCTCGGCGTCTAGTCCTGCCGGCCCCATGGCCACGGGAACGTCTTCCGACAGCGCTGGCTCTTCGGCTTTGAAGCGGAGATGAGCACCCCGCGACCCTCCGAGCAAGGGGGGAGCCCCCGGCCTTTGTCGCCGC